CTGGCGTGCTCTGGTCCATGGGGTCACAAAGAGTCGGACACGACTAAACGACTAAACGATGATGAAAGCAGGACATTTTGATTTCGGCCGTTTGGCAGCTTTCAGTCACAGAATATAGAGCATGTGCTGATAGAAAGAAATACAAACAGATGGATATTGTGGCATACAATTTCTAGAGTCGGAGCCCACTTCTGTGTTGTTTTTATGTGCTGTCAAGTTGCCCCTGACTTAGGCCATCACCGTCAGTGAGCCATCTCCAAAAGGTCCTGCCCTCAACAGCCCTGCTCAGCTCTTGCAAACTCAAACCTGTAGAGTCCTTCAGAGAGTCAGTCCATCTTGTATTTGGTCTTCCTCTTTCCCTGATGCCTTCAATCTTTCCCAGCATCATTGTCCTTTTCAAAGAATCTTGTTTTCTCATGATGTGCCCAAAGTAGGAGAAACTCAGTTTTGACTTTTTTGCCATCAGATATAGTTCAAGCTTGACACACTCAAGAATCCAGGGCATCTGCAAAGTTCTTCTCCGGCACCATATTTCAAACGAATCAAATATTTTTCCTGTCAGCTTTCTTAACTGTTCAGTTACTCAAAGGAAATACAAGAACATTCTTAATCTTGGTCTCCAGTAACAAATACTTACACGTGATGATCTTTTCTAATTCCTTCATTGCTTCAGAGTCTCAATCTTCTGATTTATTGGGTACAGTTTCCATTTGGATTGATGATTGAACCAAAATATTGTTTATATCTAACTATCTCAGTTTCTTCATTATCAGTGTTAAAATTCTGTAGTTCTGTAGTTATGATTTTGGTGGTCTTATTGTTCAATTGCAATCCTGCTTTGGCACTTTCTTCTTTCACTTTCATCAGAAACCATTTCAAGTCATTGCTGTTCTCTGCCAGTAAGATGGTGTCATCTGCAAATTTTAAATGATTGCTGTTTCTTCCACCAGTTTTCACTCCTCCTTCTACTTCTCTAGATGGAGGAAAAACATATCCAGCAATAGACATGTTGAGAGTGTATGTGGTATAGTGGAGAGCGTGTTGTACTGGGATGCAGGAGATCAGGATTCCAATAGGCATGTTGAGAGTGTGTGTGGCAGTAGAAAACCACTCTTTGAGCATCTCATATACCTTGAAAACATTAATTGCCATAAATTGAAAGTGACATGGTGGCACATAAGAAGCAGCACATTAGCTTGTAGCAGGAAAAAAAAAATCCTGTGAAGCCATGAATTTGGAGGTTTATAAAGTTGTCATTTTAGCACTGATTCCAATACCTTTCTGGAATGAGTCACCAGTGCCAAAATTACAACTGTGAGTTGTCCATGTCCCCACCCCACGCAATCACAGTACTGGTAGTATACTTCACTCCCACCAGGCACACAGGTACATGGAATAGTGGTTGATGGCAATGTGCATAAAGATGCAGGGCTGGGTTGATTTTTGAGATATGGTGGCATAATATGTAACTGTGGTGTGGACACAACAGAACTTGTTGCATCCAAAGCCAAGGCAGCTGGGACGACTGTCTGTTGTCTGATCGGAAGAGAGTAGAAAAGAGAAGGGTTGCAGCCAGAGAGGTTTGTAGGAGTTCCGATAATTTGCTCTCTGTATCTGTAGTGTCAGCTTTGGTTTCAACAGTAGTCATTTTTTAACCCACATGGACTATGACATTTACGGTGAACAGACATGGACCATTCCGCTATATAGCAGCAACCAACCATGGAGCAAAGCTAATTGTCTTTCCTTTCACCACCATCCCATCTATAAATGACACAAAGAAGTAAATAATACTGTGGACAGGATACCACAGTATCATTTACTTATTTATTTCATTTATATCCCAGTTTTTTATGGCAACATACACATCTCATAACCTGGACATAGCCTCAGTCCACTAGCAATCCCTGCATGTGTTCCCCGGCTTCATTCTTCTTCTCCTTGCTTTATCTTCACAGCAATCTTGTAAGATAGGATAAGCTGAGAGAATGCAACTGGCCCATGATCAGCTTGTGGGTATGGATCAGCCGACACATGCACCTGGAATTCCAAAATCCCAATCCCACACTCTGGTCACAACACCATACTGACTCTCCTTCTCATGACAGCCATTTTGCCCCCCACACAGCCAATCTACAATACAATCTTAGTTTGTATTTTTCTTTGTATTTCTACTTTTGCATCGTCTTGTAAGCATTGGAGTATTCCATTGTCTGTGCCTATGCAGGTGTCTGCTGTTTTAATGTTATTGACATCATTGCAGTCTGTAATGAATGAGTCTCTTTCCCTTCCTGTGTCAGGAACTGGTTTTGATATCCTGTTCCCCCTAACCAGAAACTAAACATTACTGAACTGATGAAGATTTCCTTCTGGGTTGCAATGGGTGGTGTACTTGGTAATTGTATGTGCAAAACAGAATACAAGACAAATATCTGATGAAACTGAAGAATTGTTTTTGTAAAACATTCATTTTTTCAAAAAAGGAAAACTAGGCTAAGGGGAACTTCAGCATTCATTTCATTGCATGGTTAACATCAGAGGTCTTTCCTGTCCCTCTCAGCTTTTCTTCAGAAGACTTTCCCCTACCAGCACTGGAACAGTGAGATTTGAGAGGCATGCAAGGTTGTTATAGCTTTGATTTTATTCTCCAGAGAATAATCAATTAGTAGTGTAAGAAGATTCAAATGTGGATCTCAAGGATAGCTCGACATTTGATTTCTGCCTCTTTCTGATACACATTTGTGTGAGCATCTATAGTTAAGGCTGGCCTAGGAATTGTTTAGGATATCAG